ACCAAACTGAAGCGGATGCAGAAGATTGTTACTTTCTAAATGCAGTATTAGTTGTTCCAGAATAATTTTCTCCAGCACTTTTGACATGACCGGAACCAGACTTATTGGCCTGTAGTTGCTGATTTCATGTGGGCTTCCTGATTGAAAAATCGGTTTAAAAAAATAATAAAACTTATTCATAGTATTACAAACATTAAGAATACATGTATTGCAACAATCATTTATCTGATTCTGGCTGGAAACGTCATCCCAATTAACCTTAGCTAATTCGGCCTCAAATTTGGGTTCATCCTGTCTTGGAATTTGTATTACAGTCTGTTTCTGGGTATTATAGCGACTGACAAAACGATTTTGAGATAATTTTCTTGCAATGAGAGTAATATTGTGGTCAGATAAGCCGCACACCAAGTTATAGGATTTTTATGATTCGACCAGGTTTATTTGAAAAAATTAAATCTATTAAAGTTTGACTGTTTTTAGTGATACGAGAGGGACTATTGATTAAACGGTGAAAATCAAATTTTGCTGTCAGTTCTCCAAGTGGTTTTTTCAATTTATTGTCCATCCAGTTTATATTGAAATCCCCCAAAATGATTACTTCACTGTTGTTTCTAGATCCTGTTAACAATTCCTTTAAGTTATGATAAAAAGTTGTGCTGCAACTTTATGGTGGATTGTACACCACCACAATATTAAAATTCATACGAGGTGAAAGACAAACATTTAAACATATATATGCTGATCTATGACTATCTCATTGATGTTAAATAAGTCTTATGTAAATTAATACTCCCCCTCCTCGCCCCACAACTCCATCCTTTCTGAAACATGTATATCCAGGTACATCAATCATATTAGTTGGAATGTTATCAGTTAGCCAAGTTTCACTTAGACATAGAAAATCCAAATTAGATCCCATTAGCAATGTTCTTATTTCCTCACATTTGGGTATGAGACTTCTTATATTTAAATGTGCTCCAAAGATACCTTTAGGTTTAAGTGCAGGGTCCCAGACCACTCTAGCATGATTAACAGTTTGAAAAAATAGATAATGTCTTTGTTTGTTTATTGGTTCCGTATGTAATGCCTTTTACATTTATTTGGTAAATTTAAACATGTTTTATCGTTCCTTTACAGTCTGGGATTCAAGTCAGATTTTGATGATGAAGGAAGGAAATAAAAGAATAATAATAAAAAAATGAGTCTGAGATGCAGCAGAAAGGGTCAAGCTAAAAAAAGAATAAAAATGAAAAGGCCTAAGCCTGATATTTTTGTTGAAAGTTCAAGTTTCAGTGGATTCTTAATCAAGTGAGATTGAGAGATTAAAGGAGATTCTCCAAATGCCGAGTTCGTGATCGATGATCCGCCTCAGAAACGGTTTCATTACTTTTTGACTTTGGTGGTTTCTTTGTCTTGTCGCTTCACGTTTATTCTCACAACTCTCTGTTCAGCTCGCGGTTTTTGGAACAAAACCCTAAATATCTTAAATTGTTTCTCATACACCTTTAAAGGGGACGTATTACGCAAAGTTCACATTTGGCATGTTTTTGTATTTCCATTTGGGTTTCAACTGTTTCTCAAAACAACACAAGCATAAAAAAATTAAATAAAATCACCCAGTTGGTTTTTGGTAATAAGTAAACTTTTTTAGCGGTTTCAAAAACCAACGGATTGTAACGTCACAAATTAGCAGAAACTGCCCCTCACCTAGTGACCCCAGCCAAGCACAGACCGTTACCTAGCAACCCCAGTGGAATTCTGCCTGTCGCCTAGCAACACAGGTGGGCAGAGCCCCCAAAAACTGAACTCAAGTAAGAGTAGCACTACTTCAACATATCTTTACTCAAATAAAAGTAAAAAGTAAACCAGCAAGAAATTACTCAAGTGAAAGTAAAAAAGTATTTGGTAATAAGTAATATTTAAAACATATTATCAGACAGAACAAAATATTAAGTTAAGTGAAGATTTTAAGAATGAAAATGACAATAATTCATATACGGTAAGTAACAAAAAAATTACAAAATCAAAAATTTTCCAAATCAGTTTCTTTCAATAACATATTTGTTTTTCATTCTGTGGTTAGAAAATCCAGAAATGTTAGTCAAGTGAGCGTAGCAGTACTTCATAATAAAATTACCCAAGTAAAAGTAAAAAGTACAGTGTAGTAAAAATACTCCTAAAAATAAATTTGATAAAAAAATTTAATCAGGTAAATGTAACTGAGTAAATGTAACTAGTTACTACCCAACTATGTCTAGCAACCCAAGCTTCAGTACGTTTGTACCATCCAGAAACCACGTGCTGCATTGTTCTTGGTTGTGCAGGATGCTCTACTAATGCTTTTCAAAGATGTACAATTGTGTAATCGTGCATCTGTTTGCAGACATTTTGACGTTTGAGTGTAAATGTTGAGTTGGGGTGTGTGGTCAGCAGCAGCTTATTTGGATTTAAAGTGACAAGAGGCCCCGAAATAACTCAGTTTGAATCGACCAAATTAAAGTCTGATGATCTAAAAATTATTAACTTGTTCAAGGAAGCTTAATAGGTCAACTTCAGCTTTTTAGATGTTGCCAGAAAATGTATTCTGTGTATATTTGGTTCAGTATTCAAGACTGAACAGATGTTCATGAAGCTTAATTCTCATTTTTTTATATGCATAAGTTTAATTTTAAATTATTAAATTAATAAAGCTAAGCAATAATGTGAAGGTTGAGAGGAAAACATCTGTCTTAAACACATTTACAGAACTTTAAGCCTCATTGTTACATGTTTTTCAGAAGCAGAGTTTTCCAATTTCACAAATGAAAAGTATTTTTACAAGAGTGTATAAAGTCAAACTTAAATATAAAAAATGTCTAAACAGATGGAAAATCCAACAGAAGAACATGAGAGCTGACTTCATCCAGGAGGCGTAGAATGATAAATAATGTGAAAACAGTGAAATGGACAGAAACAAGTTGCCAATGGAAGATGAACACATCTGTGGTGTGAGGAAGTCTTGTCTGTGGCGTATCTACAGAAACAGGCCATTTCTATTTCAGGGAGATGACAGATTGTCAATACTGATATAATTCAGGGTTGGTCCTGTCGGAGGGCGACAGGGAGCCGCCTGATTGGTGGAGGGGCTCAGCTGGAGCGCCACAGACTTACTGATGAACGGCTGCCACTAATTATGACACAATATGAATGAAAGAAGGAAAATAACGGCTCTCTTTACGTCTTATTGGTACCAATCGAATCGCTAATTTGACTGGTACATGATTCCAAATTATTCTTGAAAATGTATTTTTGGATCTTTTCATATCCAAAAAATCTACAATACTAAAAAACAGGTAGGCACTATGCTACTTGCAAAGCAGCCAATCAAGGAGGGCCTTTAACTTTCTTTGATTCTGATTGGCTGAACCCCTAAGTGTGCCGAATAAGAAGATTGTTGATGTTATCTCCTGCGGCAACATCGAGACTGTTTCCACTGCGCATTAAAGAATATTAAGGTATATTTGATGTTTCCATAAACAAATTAGGCTGTTTTAACAGATTTTTTAGACATGATCTCTAGATTTCAGCTTCTGGAGGATTATTATTAATAATAACGTCTGTACAATTTGGAGGATCTTGAGCAATGTTAAATAAGTGCTAGGGAAAGGATTCTACCTGTTTACTGTGGAATGAAGTATAATATTTTATGTTACATTAAACAAGGAAATAAGCAAATAATTAAATTCCTTTATACAAATAAAGGAATTTATTTGTATATTCCTTAAAATATACAAATATTTTAAGGAATGCGCCTTAAATCGCATTTAAGGCGATTTTGCCTTAAATGCAAAATCGCAGCATTACTTCAGCTTGATTATTTGTAGCAAAGGATGCATCTGCAACAAGTCTTTTTGTTCAACTTAACATTAATACAGTGTTGGGCTGATATGTTTAGTATTTTATGAATCAACATATTAATAATTAGATAGCAAAAGTGTCTAATAGGAGAGACTTTGGTAACACTTTATTTGAAGGGGGGTGAATAAGACTGTCATGACACCTGTCATAAACATGACATAACACCTGTCATGAACATGAATAAGCCTTCATGAATATTTATGACTGTTGTCATAAAGTGTCATTCGGTAAATTATGACACTTTCAATACAAAGTTGACATTATTCAAAATGTCTTTGTTATGACAATTTGACATTAACCAAGAAATCATTACTGTTTAAACTTTACCTTTAATAACATAAAGTTACCTCATTTTTAAAGTGCAATCAGTAATACTTTTATAACAAATTTATATCAATAATGATTTCTTGGTTAATGTCAAGTTGTCATAACAAAGACATTTTGAATAATGTCAACTTTGTATTAGAAGTGTCATAATTTACTGAATGACGCTTTATGACAACAGTCATAAATATTCATGAAGGCTTATTCATGTGCATGACAAGTGTTATGTCATGTTTATGACAGTGTCATGACAGTCTTATTCACTCCCCTTCAAATAAAGTGTTACCGAGACTTTTAACAGAATATGAACCAGGTGAAGCTAAAAATGCCACTTGAGGAGTTTTAGGTATAAAATATTTTCACACAGGTTTTTTATGCAAAAATTTTTATATTTTAGTGCAGATCTGGCTTAATTACTTTGCTTAGTAATTAAGTTGTTCTTTCAGCTAATGGCCTTTTTTGAGTCTGTAAAGTCCAGTTAAGAATTAATCTATTACTAAATTATTTTATTATTATTTCAATAATCGATTAATCACAATTAATCCAATTAATCACATTTAATCCAATTAATTGCAATTCGTCATGATTAATCACAACTGAGCCGATTAATCTTTTCAGCCTTGCTCGGTGTATTGGTGCTTATTGTTTGTTTGACATTTTCTTTGATAATTTGAGTTTCAGTATAAACATTGCGTGCTTCTATTCAATGCTTCCATGTTTTGCCTTCCTGGTTATCATCTGTTAGTAAGGCAGTGACTTTAATCTGAGCAGGAACCGACCTGCAGGGCCTCCAGGAACCGAAACGACCCCAGACGGCGGCCCCGCGGCACCAAGCAGAAGCTGGAGTTGTGAAGCAGCTCCTGGTAGTCGAACCTGCAGAACCAAACAGAAAAGATCGGATCAGAAATATCGCAATCAGGGGGGATGCAAGTGAAAAATTGAATCCTAAAGGAGACATGTTTGGTTATGTCCATTCATTCAGGAAAAGACGAGAAACAGAAAAACAAAACCAAAGTAAGACAAAGAAACTGAGTAGGTTAAAAACTCGTTATCCAAGAAGCGTTTTGTGCAAAAAAATATAATGAACATGTTTTGTGTAGCCAATGGGTGGCCAAAATTGAGTAAAAAAAAAAACTAAAATGAAGCAAATAAAGTAGTTAAATTTTATTTATTTAGTTTTAAAATATCTACAAATAAAGTTGTAAATTTTTGTCAAAAAACTCAGAAATTGAGATTAATCTCAGAAATTTTCCAGAATAAAATGTTTTGTAATTGTCTACGTTTCAAAAGTTGAACATTTTCAACATCATTCAGAAATTTCCACATTTTTTGTAGAAGATTTCTAAGAATACTCTCAAAATGTATTTATTTTTTGGTGGAAATTTACAACTTTTTCTACCTACAACGGCCCAAATACTCCGGTGTAGATTTTTCACTTTTGTTGTTTTAAAAGAAAAGCATCCAGTTTTCAGTTTCTTCTTTAAGCAAATTTATTTTCGGCAATAAGAACAGGATTTGGGTCACTTTATTTCCAAACGTTTTCGATATTTAGTTTAATAAATTAAATAAAAGCAGATTTGGGTGAATCATTTCATCATGGTCCTTTTGTTAAGAAAGACGAACACTTTGTGTTGTGCTTCACGTTTTCCACTGTAAGAAAATTACAAATTAAAAGTTTCTATCTGCATCAAACTTGTATCATTTTTTGGACTGCAGTTGTGTCCCGCAACACATCAGGCCCCGTGTAAAAAAAAAGTGTTTCAGAAGTCAAAACTTGAAATTTCCAAGATTTCTCTAGAAAATTTCTGAGATTAATCTAGATGTTTTTAGTTTATTTGTAGCAAATTTTCAAGTTTTGAAACTCAAAACAATTCCAAAAGTGGAAGATTTCCTCCATGTTTTTTTTTCTAGAAAATTTCTAACAATTTTTTATCAGCGCATTTTTGACTTTTCAAACTCAGAAATTTCCTTAGAATCTCTGTTATTCTAACATTTCATAGCAGCGACCTCCAACTGGCTCATTTCTGGGCAAAGGCCTCTGAAACTTTTAACTACGACTCACTTCTTCGGCCTGTCAGAAGTCTGGGACATTAAATCTCTCAAAGTGTGTCTGCGATCTCAGGGCCGAACGGAGGAGATCTCTGATAGCAGCCCAATCTGTCTGGGGATCAGCCGTTCCCACAGACACACCCACAGCCGCCAGAGTGTGTGTGTGTGTGTGTGTGTGTGTTTTAAAGCTCTTCTATTTTACTTGGCTTTCAACTCCAGTGGGATCTAGTTTTAAATTGTTTGTTTTTAAACTACAAGAGTTTTTATTTTTTTACTATTATTTTATTATTGTTATGTTGTGTTTTAATGTACAGCACTTTCTATCAGCTGTGGTTGTTTTAAAGTGATTTATAAATAAAGTTGGTATGGTATGATATGGAGTGTGCGTTTGTTTGTAACACCTTGTGGGGACGATTTTCCTGACATATACTACGTTGTGGGGCCAATTGCTCCTTGTGAGGACCGGAGCCTGG